CACTACGCACTCATTTATGAAGTTATAATTCTTTTAGGGCGTGTTAGAAAAAATATGAGAGTAAAATTGTTTTAACGATGCGCTCAGCCAAACTGACTAGCCAAAAAGGCGACATGATGAAAGTTAGCTGCATTCCTATTTACAAACAGAGAGTTAGTGACATACAGGCATGAAATCCTTAGCTGAATTTTTTTTCTGTTACCCCAAAGAAGTATAACTTCGTACACCACATTTTTGTTATCTGTTATCGATAATTATTTTATTACCTGGTGACGCGTTCTGTGGCGTTCGTGGAAGTGGACGTGCAGGCACCATGTCCGGCCGTTCCTGCCTTGGATATGTATGGGTGAGGAGGCAGTGCACCGTTGACTCTGCCTGTAGAGTGTACGATATGTTTTTGTTAATGTTTATGATTATGATATCGTATGATTTGGAAGCAAAAACTCATACCAGTCAATATAATTTGATTATTTGAGTCTTTAAAATTATTTTATTCTATGTTAGTACCTAGATTCTCATGAAAACGTGTAAGGAATTTTAAAAAAAAAAAATGTTTAGAACTTTTAAAATGGAAAATATCTATTACCATTTCTATAAAAAAACCGTATTAGCAAAGTATAGAAATCCATGCAGTAGGTGAAAGGCGAATTTTAAAAGAAATTCCGTCAAATGCAACGGCTGTCAAAAAATACCAATATAAATGGCAAACGGTTGTAACAACCATACCCGTCAATACTAATGCCGTATCCCGACTTTCACATAAAAGTACGTATGACAGTCGGATGCGCCTTTCATTGGTGTCAGTATTAATAAACATAAAATCAAATCGTATCAAAAATATACATTTTGTATTGACATATACATATATATGTCAATACAAAATTTGCAATTCTCATACAAATCTCTTACCAAATGGTACGGAAACGTTCTCTCACTGTGGTGAGGGGAATGCATTGTAGTACTTGCATCTACTACTTTAACGTTTCTGGAAGGCGACGCCATTGTCGTGGGACGACGGTTCTCCTTACCCTGCAATAACAATTATTATAGTTTATTATTAATCCCTCAACGGCCGCGGGACACGCCGATATTACAGTTAACAATAGATTCTTAGAAATATAATTAATTTCTTAGAAATTTACCTGGAGATGTTAAGACAATATCAAATCGAAATAAAAGAACCAAATACAAGACACTTGGTATTATTGAAATTTGGGATTTCTTCCAGACAACTTTCGTGTTAGAACATTGGAATACTAAAAAAACTGCACATATCTAACACAATATAAACTTCATATATACAGTTAATGAAATTTATCTTTATACAAGAAAACGTTAAGAATCTCTAAAAATAAATAGATACGGATTTTTTCCTGTAAATATCCGCGGTTACGGATACAGATACGGATATACAGCACACCTCTAATATCTATATATAGAAAATTCACATTAATATTATAAATGTTAAAGCTATTTGTCTGTTTGCAACGTTGAATAGATTTCTATGGAATTTGGCTTTATCATTTAATCTCCTCACCGCTTCGATGTGACCAGAGCCGATGATAGTACTAGCTTTCATACATTTGTATAGATAGCGCTAAAAATTCGATCATACTGAGTCTTATGTAGTATAATAAGTTTTTTAGTCAACATTTTTACTTATTGTCCTTTTTATTGTGTGCAATAAAGAATAAATGAATGAATAAAAAATAAGTTTCTTATTTGTTAGTTTCTAAAGATCTTTTCTAGCTTAATAAGCAAAAAAGCACCACTGCTTACAGCACTCAATGTTTTTGTAGGCCACGGAGCAGTCTACAAAAACATTATAGCTAGAATAAGTAAGCAGTTTTTTATGTTATTTAATATGGCAACAATGCCTGAAACTGTATCTGTATTAACATTAAATTCACCGATACACTTTTAAACAACTATTTTGTAACGTAGTTCCTTAACGCATGTTACATTTGGCACACTTGGCAAATGAGAAATAGACGGAAAAAAGTGTAATACGTATTTCGATCGTCACGACACTTTTTATTATTTACTATTAAGGGCACCCCGAGTGACGTCAATATAAATATCAGGCGAGCATAAGTAATGAATGTATGTTGTAAAAATTTCGTGTACACTCTATGCAGGCCTTTCTTTGACGAAACTTCAACATGTAGAATTTATGTTACTTAATATTTATGACTGCTCTTGTTTCAAGAACTTTATCATACCGGGTGTCCCACGACACTTGTCGAACTTTTTTAACCTTTAGGGTAGAATTTTTGAACTCATTTGTTAAAGTAAGAAAATTGAAAATCGATTAACAATTGGCGAAGATAATACAGAACATAAAAAAAAACAAAAAAAAAAATTATAAAAAACCAGAGTTGCTCAAAAGTTCGTTATTCTACCTATATATTTAATTTTATCTAACTAAAATAACTGTATAATTAGTAATTACTTACAGGATTCACTAACTCAGCACTTAAGCCTAGGTATTGATGAAGCGCAGTGAAAGTGACCCGCTGAAGACGCACCATAATAATCTAAAATATAAACAAATATAGCTTCAAATTACTGTATGGTTAACTAAAAAGTGAGTCAATAAATGTATTCATCTTAAATTATTAATTAAAACAAATATAGGGGAATAACAAGTATTTGTAAAATTGCCACTATTCCGCCATTTTATTTTCAATTTTTTCCAATTTAGTGGCGCTCAATGAACCTATAATATATGGAGAGAAAACACATAGGGAAATAAAAAAAAAACAGCAATATGGCGTCCTAAAATATCAGTTTTCCGAAATCTTTGAAGTTAAATATTGCCATAACAAATTAATGAAAATGATGAAAAACCTTATTACATGTTATCGCCCCGATTCACCTTGTATTGAAGGGAGGCCCGTGCCTTTCAATCTGACATTTAAAAGGGCTAAATACAATAAAAACTACTTCAAGAGAAGTATAGAAATAACAAAAAGAATATTTCTTACCTGTATTACTCTAACGAATATATCAGGGTACTCTTTGAACACTTCTTGGAAGGCCCGCATTGGGAGCTTTATCACTTGCGAATCCTCTAATGCCTTCGCATTCACCGTTTTATATGGTTGAGAATGACCCTGATAATAAAAAAATTGTAATATTGTTTATGAAATATTGTTCAGCATTTGTAGTGTAGGTTCGATGCTCGGTCAAATATAAAAGTAAAATGCAAAATATTGTACATTTTATTAAAGCAAAGTTTGTTAAAATTTGGATGAAGGAAGTATAGTTTTTTTTAATTCTTTCCAAAGCACAAAACTTTAATATTCGATAGTGTCAAAAGCTATTATCATTGCAATAAAGTGAGATTTCAGTTTGCAGCATTGTTTTGCAGGCCAAGGGACATTATGTAAACAGATAATTGATAGGCCAAAGAGAGAAATGAGAAGTGATGTGGACCTTCCACCAGGTTTACTTTTGACGGTTTGGCCATAGGATAAGATTGTTTTGAAACCAGTAACATGTAAACCATTGAATGAAACCTATATCCACAAGTGTCGACATCAGTTTAAGCGAAGACGATGGCAATTCAATTAGGATCTAAGCAAAACAAGAATGTCTAAATCTCAAAGAATCTCACCGTCAAGACATCTGTAAAGCTGAGAAGTGAAGTCACACTCTCGCCTGCGCGTACAATTTTCAAGGACAAACTTGTACCATCTGGGTTGGTTATGTATACATTTACCCGTCCAGTTTGCACCACGTATACATTTTCGTCTGTATCGCCTAAAATAAAGGATGTAAAATTTTGTTTTATAAAATCTATCTTTGGTTTATAAAATATATCTATTAAATCAAATATCAAATCCGTAAAACAAAAATTACAAGGGTACAAAAATTACGAGGCAGGTCAATGGTTCTATTCTAAATTGGTGTAAAAATTATATTTATTGCATAACCACTAGCTTTTGTCTGTGACAATCAGCCTTTATAATCTTTCTTAATCGGGTATAAAATGCAAATATTTTTTTTTTTCAAATCTGACTGGTAGTTAGTTACAGAGCTTCAAATTTTCCTACAAACAAAAAAACAAACAATCTCTTAAATTTTAAAACATTAGTATTTTTATACTAATGTTTCTACCAATCTGGTCCTAACACAAGCACTACAACTAGTTAAAATATAATAGAGTAAAAAGCTACGAATAAATTATTTAGTCGTAGGTAACAAGTCCACAAAGACCTGTAAATCTCTTTAACTTGAAAAATAACAATAATAATAAGGTAACATAAATTAGTTTAAAAAAGTCCCATAAAAACTCGAGCAAGCAGATTAAATAAAACAAAGCCTTTCATAAAATAGCTTTAGTCATGAGTAATAATCGTGTCTAACGAAAACTCGTCAACGAAATGAAATCGATTTTCTTTAGCGCATAATTGCATATCGGTTAAAGGCTGAATATGTTTATATCATATAAAAATTATTTAAAAAAAACGGTGTTTATTATATTATGTGTTATCTTAATAAAGATTTAATCTCGTCTTTCTGTGTTTGCCTCGCACCTCTGATAATTTGGTATGCGAATCATTTCCAACATTATTAGAATTTGTCTTGCAGTGAAGGAAAACATCGTGAGGAAAACGTACATATCTGAAAAGAACCTAGTAAGCTTTCCAAAGACATGTGAAGTCTGCCAACCCGCACTTAGCCAGCGTGCTGTATCATGACCTGATCCCTCGTATTAAAGGGAGGACCCGTGCCAAGCAGTGAGACGTTGAAAAGGGCTGAATACAATACAGGTAGCGTCACCTTTGGGCAAGTTATATTTCTCATAGTAGCGTATGTGTTACTCCAGGTCAGGTCATTCTGTATAATAAATTTCATCCAAATCAGTCAAAATGGTTCAGCGTGTGAAGACGAAACAGACAAACATACATACACCCGCTTTTATAAACAGTAGTGTGATTTTATCTATTACTAAACTTCTGCCTACTTGATATTGATATCCGTGAGTTCTTATTAGCACAATTATCTAACACGCGTTTGCGTTAAAAATAAAAATTTGTTAGTTATTGCGAAAATACAATTTTTTAACTGTTATTTTACATAAATCCTAACATATCTAATTTACAAAGCTAACATCCTATATTTACTCTTAAACAAAGATCTCGATAGCATTAACGTTTCTAGTGCAAAGTAAAAAAAAATACAAATCGTCAAAACATATTACGTCAAAACAACTGACCGGCACTCTAAGTATTATAATTACGTATTTATAAGTACACTTGAAGAAAACCAGACTTGTCTAAAAATAAACAAAAATGGGAATGCAATATAAAAATCTATAAATATCTGTTATCTATACATTTAATAAAATTGTAAACTAAGCCAAATGTGGACATTAAATATTTTTTGAAAAATCTTCAATAAGATACTTTTTGGCTAATCTAATCATTGAAATAAACATTATTATCGATACAGAAGCCGAATCTATAGTTTTTAGAATTTTTGTCTGTCTGTCTGTTTGTTAGCGCACGGGAACACCACTGGATAGATTTTGATGAAATTTAGTATGATGATAGCTGGTTATCCGGGTCAACATTTAGGATACTTTTTACCGCGGAAAAATGTCTCATTTCTGAGAAAAATACAAAAACTGCAATGTAAGAGTACTATACTAATATGTAAAACGGGCGGTACGGGCGGAGCCGCGGGCAATGCTTGTTATACATTTAGTAGTAATAATTGTCCCTCTGGCAAGAGCATTTAAAATTATGATACACGTGAAATGTTTTATTATATTCGCGTGACAAAAGAAATAATTTATTATTTTTCTGTGGCTCTGCATATAAAGTGGAGCAGAACAAAACTCATGATACGAATTGCATTATATGACAAATTTCCTCAAAATCTGTTCATCGATTTTTATGTGAAAAGATCACAACGGACAAACAGACAGAAATACTTTAACATATAGTACAATATTGCTTATGATAGTATGGATTATAATATAATATGTACGTATAAATATAAATAATATGACACACATTTATGTATATTATGTATCTATGTATACATCCATTTACATATAAATAAAGTGTCGTGTATGATTTCAAAATAAATATGTTTTCTTAAGTACATAGTGTTATTTACATATACCTAAACAACTCTTTTTAAAATCTTTGCCTGTCTGTCTTTCTGTTTGTTCGGAATAATCTTTAGAACGGCTTTACCGATTATAATGGGACTTTCACTGAGAGATAGAAGAGTTTGTAGAGCTACATAATATGTTTTATTCAAGGTACATTCACAAAGTATCTAGGGACTATATGAGAATAAGTAGCAAGTAGAAAATAAAAATTTGAAAAATCCAGGCGCAGGTAAATTACGAGTATAATCAAACGTTGCAACATTTTATATACTGTTCCAAGAATATCCGACCCCATTTCCGATTTATAAAATTAACCTAGACTAGTTCAGCATTAGTATAATGTATACAAAGTGTATGTATTAATACATTTTTTACCATACAAATCTATTCTAATATCATAAAGAGAAAAATTTTTTGTATCGAATAGGCTCCGAAACTACTGAACCGATTTAGATGAAATTTGATGAGAAGACAGTTTGAGACCCTGGGAAGCACATAGGATAGTTGTTATTCCGGAAATCATCCCGTTAGGGAATGAAAATGGGGTGAAAGTTTGTATGGAGAAGCTACTTAGGGACAAACCCGTGCGAAGTGAGGGCGAGTCGTTAGTAAATGAATAAATTTCGAGGCTTGTTTAAAAATAACATAAAATTACATTTAGTTCTGTTTAATTTTTCTTTAAATATCTACTGGTATTTCGGAAAAAAACATAACAGTAAAACAGTATAGAAATATTTTATATGCAGAAAACCTAGCTGGTTAGTGATATTAATTGGCATTAGAATAGAGTGAGTAAAATGTAAACGTCTAAGATCAGTGATTCAAAAGTGCTTGTATAAGTCTAATTGAATGTAGTTCAATTTCAGATGACAAGGAACATTTTCACGTATAAAATGACTTAATATAAGAATTATTATCAACTAGCGTTTCCCGCGGCTTTGCTCGCATAGTCCATAGTAACGTGATGTTAGATGCTCTGTAACATATTTCAAGAATTGGCCTATGAAATGCAAAAAAACCGATAGGTGGTTCCAGAGCTTAGCGCGTTCAAAAAAAAAACACAAACAAATTCTTCAGCTTTAGCATACCTATTAAAATATATACATTTATAACAGTCACAATAAATAAAATTCATTCATGTAACATTATAAACCGATTATACGTAAATATATACGTGATAACGTACATATGTTAAAATGATAGGTAAATAAAGGTAAAAATTGTGCTAAAATTCCATTTTGTATTATGATAATAACATTTTAAATGAGACAAATAGAGCGTATATAAAAAAAACTTTGTATTTTTTAAAATATAAATAGGTCATACATAACATAAAAAAATCACAATCATACCCGAATAGTCTATACTTTAACTCTTTACTTCGTTTATCGCACTTTTCTAAGTTATCTCAATCTAAATAAGCTAATCTTTTAATAAAACATATTAGTTATAAATAACTTACCAACTTTAAAAAGAAATGATCCAGCGGGCAAGTTAAGTATCTCTGTGTGTTTACAGAGCATGAGGAAGACAGGTTTTTCGAAATGTCCAAACACTCTTATACTATGTAACATGTATAGAGCGTCTGGAGGTACACGATCATCACTTGTTAGGTCCTCTTCGAGATATTCCGCTGGCGGTTCTAAGACCTGATAAAGGCATTTGAGCATGAGTACCGTGGTTTTCCAATTTGACTTTTAATGTAAATTTTTTTTAAATACGGACATTGCTTGTTACCTTATAAATAATTTCGCATCGTTTTTTTAATAAGTATAAGATTCAATTTAAATAAAACTATCTCTTCGGATTTTTTCGCGGATTTATTTTTAGTTCGCGACGTTTCGAATGCTTTACAGCAATCACGTTACCGCTTAGCGTCCACTGTCGTTAAATGTCAATAATACGTATACGTAAAACAAATAAAATATGAATAAAGTAACCTTCTCAATAATAATAATCAACGTCCATAAGCATCAAATGTCAGTTATCGCAAGGCAGTAATATATTTGTTCATAGACAAATAATTATACGCATATGTACAATGTACATGCAAAATACAACTTAATAGAACAATGTTGTTATCTTATTAAATGGAAATAATTATAAATATTACATAAACTCATCGACGCAAAAACGCAATAAATTAATCGCTCCGGATAATGTATTTCAGTGCTAGCTCAGTGATAGCACGATATCATTTGGAATACCAAGTGGAACAGATTCAATCCCTGGTCTTGTACCTATGCGAACAGTTTTAACATTATTACCAGCAGCGTTGCCACCTACCAGCCTAACTAGTTTTCAAAAGATGTATGAAGTCCGCCAACCTGTACTTATTGTGTGCCTTATTAGTATGGTAAAATATGGCTATATGTTAATCCGGATAACGAGCTATCACCATACCAAATTTCATCAAAATCCCTCCAGTGGTTTTTCTGTGATGCGGTAACAGATAGACAGACAAACAGACAAAAATTCTAAAACCTATAGATTCGGCCTCTTTTTCAGTAATAATTTTTATTTCAATTAGATTAGCCAAAAAGTATCTAATGTACAGATTCTGCTTATTCACAATTTTATTAGATGTGTAGATTATGATTCTAGTATTTTATATATCAAAAAAATTATACATCTAGCGAACAAAACAAGGCAGTTTTTTTTAAATGAAGTTTTACCTTTAATTGCTCAGGGGCAGATTCTTTCTTCAACTGTAGCAGCTTTCTGGCGAACCTCATCACCGCACGCCTCTTCCTACCTTGTCCAGAGTTTGAGATTGATTTAACCTTTCTCAGCATCCTTCGACCATAGAATAGCATTTTGTCTCGTTTTCTGAATCTCTTCGCTGGTTCCCCGGAGGCCGTTGTTCCGGGACAACCTAATAACTCTAGAAAAATCAATTGTTTTGTAAATTTATCACACATCTTATGTTACTTGAGTATAGTTATCACTTGTTATAGTTACCTTTGGTTTGACATCGTCTATAGTAATAGAAAAATACTACTAAAAGGGATACTAATAAACAGCCGCAGAACGAATACAGCAACTGTAAAGAATGAAGATATTAGAACGAGTACAAAATGTAATTAAAAAAAATGTTGGTAGTGTAGTTACATTATACGAATGTGTAGTGCACGTGTATCATTTTAATTGCAAAAACTCAAGAGTCGTCAACTCATTATAATTATAATCTATTCTAATATTATAAAGAGGACAAATTTGTTTTGTTGTTTGTTTATATCGAATAGGCTCCAAAACTACTGAACCGATTTAGATGAAATTTGTTAAAAAGATAGTTTGAGATCCTGGGACGGACATAGGATAGTTTTTATCCCGGATATCAGGAAATCATCCCTTAAAGAGGTGATAATAAGGGTGAAAATTTTATGTGGAAGCAACTTAGGGACGAACCTGAGTGAAGCGAGGGTGAGTCGCCAGTATAACTATTTCTACAGTAACATATACAGGTAAAATTGCCAAAAATAATATTTTTCTGGACTAAAGTCTAAAGGGGTGAAAAGAAGTAAGTTTGTATAAAAATCAATACCTTCCACGCATCTACATATTTAAAAAACCTAGGTGCAGTAGATGCAGAACAATAATCTATACATATAATAAAATTTTAACTAAGCCGAATCTGTACATTAAATATTTTTTGGAAAATCTTATTAAAATAAACATTATTATCGATACAGAGGCCCAATCTATAGTTTTAAGAATTTTTGTCTGTCTGTCTGCTACCGCATCACAGAAAAACCACTGAAGGGATTTTGATGAAATTTGGTATGGTGATAGCTGGTTATCCGGGTCAACATATAGGATACTTTTTAGCACGGGAAAATATCTCATTTCTGAGAAAAAATGCAAAAAACTGCAATGTAAAACCAAAAAAATAGATTTTTGTTCATCTGAACGCGGGCGGCGCCGCAGGCAATGCTAGTAAAGTATAATAATATAATTGATTATTGCTTAATTCTGATATTCTATAAAGTCATAATACGATTATAACATTGTGTACCTACATATTTACTTAATGTTAAAGTTCAATGCACCTTGCTTTGTTTTGAAGGTACTCTACACACATTTGTTATTTTGCACGTCAGCTGATACCGTGTTAGAATAATATTTGATGACGTCAGCGGAATTAAACATTATGATTATCTTGCTAATGTACATATTTGTATTAAATACCTTTATTAGTTAGAAAGAATGACGTTGAAGCTGAGAATAAATAATAAGTCTATTTATTCGTAGCGTTGAAGTATAAATTAAATTAGCTCTATATGTACATATCTATACTAATATTATATAGAGGGAGAGTTTGTTTATTTGTTTGTTTTTTTGAACGCGCTAATCTCGGGAACTATTAATCAGATTTGAAAAATTATTTTTACATAAAACTTAAGAGTTTTTTTGTAGTTTTAGCGCGAGCAAAGCCGCGGGTTCTGCTAGTATCTAGTAGCTAGCAACATAATACGACTCATCCGTTGTCCTTGTCCTTTGACCTTTGACAGTGAACAGTTCACGATGTGGCATGGCCTATGAGTATACACAAATAGACATACATTGGTATAACTATCCTATAACAGATCTAGCTATGAATATATTTTTACATATCGTCAGAACCGTCTGTTCGTTCGTCGTATCAATTGGTTACTCATATAATAATGTCCACAACATCAGCGGAAATGGAAGGACAATGATGTGAATGAATACTTCTTTGTACGTAAATACATATTTCAATGTAAATAGGTATTTTTTTATAATTTATAAAGTTCCAGAGGCAAAAAAAGTTACTTATATTGTTATAAAAGAAATATAATTTACAATACCATTGTTATTATCAGAATGAAGTATAACAATGTGTTAACGAGACCGTAAAGGAATAAATAAGTATAAATCAAATTCTATTTTTGTATTTAGGCTGGCAAAAGTATTATACATATAAATGTCAACATAAAAACGATATGGACCAGTTTTCTTCAATGAAATATTGCCTCACCTCAGAGCATTAAAATTAGATGAATTATTTAAAAATAGTGTGCGCTGTCCTACATCTTCACATAGTATAAAATGAAATCGCTTCCGCTGTCTGTTCGCTTATCTTTTAAACTGCCCAACGGATTTTAATGCAGTTTTCAACAATAGATAGAGTGATTCAAGAGAAAGGTTTATATTATGTATAATACTTGCATATTATACATATAAACCTTTCTTACACATAGTACAGAAAGCCGAGAAATTCAAAGATTTGTATTCAATACTGACCGTCAAAACGTACCTAGGGACGAACCCGAACGAAGTGAGGGTGAGTCGCTAGTTACTAGTATTAGATATTATATACGTGTTGACAATTGACATGGTTATTTTAATAGACGGTTACAGATTAACACAAATCCTGACTGTTTGCGCATTTCGGTAGCAGTACCAATATTTGGCCCGGAGATCGCAAATTCGATTATCGTTCAAGTTAACTTATACGATTTGAATTTATTTCACATACGCCATAATTGTAAAAAATATGTCGTTCTGTTAAAATTTTCTTGGTTTTGCGAAAACAACGTAACAATTTTTTTTGTACGACATTATGTAAATCAACTTTTCTATACATTTTTATTGAATTGTTTATTTCACCAACTAAGCATTCAATTAATAACTTTTAATTAGATTCCTTCATAAGAAGTCCCTTAGCCTTTTACCTGCGCTTACTTTCAATTAAAGTTAAAAAAATGTCAATCGACCTTTATTTTTATACATTTTTTAATCTATACTATTATATTATTATAAAGAAGTAAAGTTTGTGAGTTTGTGACGTTTTAGGTGATATCTGGATCTACCGAACAAATTTAGGTGAAATTTGGTAAGAAGATAGTTTGAGACCCTGGGAAGGACATAGGATACTTTTTATCCCTGAAATCATCCCTTAGGGTGGTGAAAATGGGGATGAAAGTTTGTATGGGGAATCAAGCTGTTAATAAATTATATAAAAAAACTCACATAAAGAAAGTATCATTAACCCGATTTGCCAAAACCTATTTTATAATGTCTTTTTCAAAACAATCAATAAACATACCACGCATACAATCAGGAGCATATCCAAAATGGATAAAAATACATACAAATGTTTTTCAAATATGCGCAAAACTATCGTTTGCGAATTCTACTCTTTTGTCCTTGTACGGCAGCGAGAATTTAAATCGTCTTTATTAGCATGTAATATATAAACCTTATTTGTCTATAAATAGATTCTAGAATACAATAAAAAACTGATTTTAAACTACGATTTTAGTTGATCGCTTACGAAATAATCATTAGTATTTAATTGTTAAATCGCAAATTGCATAAAACATAAAATAAATGTTACTATTTATATTCCTAACATAATAAAAAAATTGTTGACAATCTATTACTAAAATGACCTTGGCCAAAATATCATAGATCAGCAGAAGTAAGAAATGGGTACAAAAATAAAATATTTAATACTACAGACTCTTAAGATACACAAAAGTTTGAGATTCGTACTAATAAGTCTTTGTTACATATGCAGTGTACATCCATCCATCCATACCAAATAATTCATAAAACAATTTTTTTTGAGCTAATTCAATCTTTAAAATAAATGTTAATAGTTTCTAAATCTCAAGGCAAGAGAAAAATAATAAATCATTTAACCATTTCAATTTTTTTACTGAGTTCAATTTTACTTTAGTATTATGTTTCAACATTTTTAATGTAAAAACATTAAAAACAGAACATTAAAAAATATCTTTAAAACAAAATGTGAATGTTTAATGATTACTTATGTATTCAGTACTTTAATAAACATAAACACTGTACAATAAAGCTTAATTGATGTTGTATTATTTATAATCCTCTTAATAAAAATAACTTTATCATTTTTTGTTTCAGTAAATTTGAATAAATTACATCAATCTTTTAAATAATAAGCAACTTTAGTCTAACGTATAAAACTTATTTTCATTGAGTGAATTGAATTCTACACACTCATAAAACTTCCTGGTTGGTTTCAAGGATATTGATTTGTTTGCCAAAATCTTATCTAACTGATACCGAATCAAATATTTTACGTGTAACGAAGTAGTGCGTTAGTTTTAATTGAAAATATTAACAACAATATATGTAAGTAATTAAGAAATTTAAACAATAGACATGGTAAAAATCAATAACTTACTTGATTATCTTGAAAACTATATGTCCATTCGGAAGTCCATGTTTTTAAAGCAAACATGTCCGATTTATCGTTTATGTTATTGAGCAACCCAACCATATCCATTTTGGTTTTAATTCACTTTTATTCACAATATATTCGAGAAACATACGCCATAACCAGACACATTCAACCACCAATCAGCTGTTTCATAAAATGACATACAAGAAAAAACTCGAACAATAAAACAAATAATTTATGAAAAATACACTCTCGAGTATCGTTCACCAACAAAGCACAGAAAATTTTATTAAAATAAATTTAATGGGCAACATTTCTCGAAAGGAGGGCGCCACATGTATAGCCTTCCTAGCCTATTTACATTCAATCTGAAGCTAAGCAATTTATTGTGATATCTCTTTTACACCTGGTTTTTTGATTTTATTGTGTTTGCATTTTACCTGAGCAATATATTGTACCTAAAAGTTAGACCAGCTGAAGGAAGAATTGAGAAGGAAAAGTGCATCCTGCGGTGGTCCTGACTGATAGACAACACACTATCTAAGCCGATGGTCGTAGAAACGTGAAATTTGGAGGACGTATTCCTTCTATGATGTAGACATCTGATAAAAGGATTTTTCGAAATTCATATTCTAGGTGGGTAAAATAGGGAATTAAAGATTGTATTAAACTCTGTCATTTTTAATGTGAAAAACGCAGAAAATGGTGTTTAGCTTAAAAATAAAAAACAAGAAATATATTTATTTGATTTAAAGGGGTAAAATGGGTTGATAAAGTATATGTTTATATGAGCAAAGAATTATTTATTATCAGAATTACTTGAAACTTGGTATAAATGCTTTTTTATGCAATAAAATATATGTGTTTTAGCATTTTTCGAAATTTAATCAGGAGGTAAAATGAAGGATGAAAATTTGTATAAAACTGTGTATTTAATATGTAATAAAATCCAAAAATTAAAAAAAGGATATTCACCTGTAGACGATATAAGAGTTTTAAAATCACTTTCTGTATAATGATGTCCACGTAGCCTTAAATATAAAGATTGAGATTTCGCCAATTTTGGTCATCGTATTGCTTTAGTACACCATTTCTTCAGTTTTGGTCTTTTGGTAACAAAAAACATCCATTTCCTTTTCCTTAATCCTAGCAGCGCACAATTTGTTATTAAAATTAAATTTTAAATAAAATAAAAAAAAAACATCTACGCTATAAAACTTTACAATATACTAAGGGCTATAGTGATCGTTACATCTGGCGGGAGAAAAAGGCAAAATTCTTCCCATATTCAAAATAATTTGTATTGTATTAATAAGTTAGCAAATCGTTAATAATTAATCGGTGATTCTTTTCACGAGATAATGAAATCATAATATGATCTTGAATTTAAAAAAAATATTTTCTTGAATTATAATTTTTAAAAGTAGGCTTTACTAAAAAATGGTTTTATATAATTTTACCTGTATCTAATTTATAATATAACTATAAAAAAACTAAAATTTTCATGATTTTTTTGTCATATTATTAGTAAAAAGTATTCCACTGTATTTTTTACGATTTACTACTGGTTCTAATGCAACTAAAAAATTGTTAAATATTTTCCAAAAATTATCATATCTATCAATCACTTTATCAATCTTCCACTTAAGATAAAAACAAAAAGACGTGTGGCACTCGAAGACTGCCGCGGTAAAGCTATTGCATAGCATTTTTTATCAACTTATGCAATTATAATTATTTATTTTATTAATGCAGTTTTTTTTTTCCTTTGTTTTTTTTTCTTTGATATTAATTCATGTTACACTTTGAGCGTGGTGACCGATAAAAAAATTATTATCTTTCAATACATGTCGGTTCTTCAGGAATATTTATCATTGAAACTATAGGTTTATGGTAACTGAAATAAGAAACATAAGATTGAGACTTGATATCCTCTAAATATCTGGAAAATACCGCGTCAATGGCGGTTCCATATTTTGTTGTGGATTTATTCATTTTCAAATTCAATATTTTCGTAAGCAAGCTGCATCGACTGCATCTTTGTTGCAAGAATTCAAAAGACTGTCTCTAAATAGTGTTCGGACGATAGCTCAAAGTGTATTAGATTTCATTAGTAATAGAAATGGCATTTCAATAATTACTTTCAACTGCCAAAGTCTAAATAGTCACAAATACGATTTACAAGATTCAGTTACGAGGCAAGCAAATGTGTTACTTCTTACCGAAACAGATGTCAAATGTCAGATCGTCAGAAACGTCAGATGTCAGATGTCAAATCTGAGGGGGGGGTGTTAGTTTTTTCGTTACGGAATTTCTGGATTCGGTCCCCACGCTCAAGGCCCGCGATAGAAGCTATGCAATAGCTTAAAAACCTAAAGTAAATTACTTTATCTTGTGAAACATAGAATTTAATTTAAATACTTAGTATTTATTTTGTCATTTTCTATACAAGACGAGAGTGTATAAAATTCATAATAAATTGAATGAACTTAAATAAGATTTGTTGACTGTTGTTCATTCTTGTCAATATATCCGCTCAATGCGCTCATTCTTCCTTATCTAGTTCATTCACAATTTCAATCCAGTTCAATTGTGCTCATTCGTTTGTTCTTTGTAGACGTGTTTTGGAGTAAAGAATATTTTTTTTGGGAGGGAATAGGGATTCAAATTTTAAAGTGTAAGTGTAATAATTAAATTTATCGATTCTAGTGAAATTGATATAGTTGGCAAACAAGGTATGTACTAAAGAAATAACAGTTAATAGATATTTCCGCAGAGATTCATTGCGTTTGCCGTTAAAGATTCAATATGGCGACCTACAGCTACCACGTATTTTATTTTACAGATGTCTCGCTATCGCGAATGGGATCTGTCTTGTAAGGTCTATGTCGGTAACCTTGGTACTAACGCATCTAAATATGAAATAGAGAAAGTGTTTTCAAAGTATGGCAGCATAAGAAATGTGTGGGTTGCGAGGAATCCACCGGGGTTCGCATTTGTGGAATTCGAAGATCCACGCGATGCTGAAGATTCTGTTCGTGGGTTAGATGGCACGTAAGTACAACATGGTAATAATAAAGATTCTGTAGTTCGATAAGGTTGTAGTATTGATTAATTCAAGTACAATTCAATAGGCGCCATATTTGATTTTCGCCATTTTGGTTACATTTCACACTTGACCTCGGTGACATAGTTTTTGATAATTATAGATAGTACAACTCTAATAATGCCCTTACAATAACATTTACAATAAGGTTGGATTTGCAATCGTTTGGCAGGAGTTTGTAGGCAAAAATTTCGTATTCCGTAGAGGTTTAATCCCTGATCATTACAATATCACTTACAACTCAAGATAATTCTTTTTTTGGATAAAATTAACAAAAACCACTATAACCTCTAAACGTGGTGGTTTATCACTAGTATATATAGTAATAAACCACCCTACTTTTAATTAGTTAACCTTCGTGATTAGGTTAGGACTTAAGTTATTGTCTTCAGGTTAGGTTAGAACAGGGCTGCAGTTTAGAATTGGGGACTTGGCCCCTAGCGGAGTGGGTGGTATTTCTGGATAAGGGACGTGATAGGGAGTCGAAATGTTAAATAAAAATTGTCCGCGAACGTATGAGTAAAAAGTTATTGAGACTTAAAGTTACAACATTTCCATACATTATTTTGACATTACTACCATTTAGACACTTGGGAGTCAAAACGTCACTTTCAATTGTCAAAATGATCTCCAGATGATTGTCTTTATTTGTACTTTACGTGAAATTCGAATTTTCTAGTTTTCTAGTCATTTATGGCACTCGCCGGCCGCTACCGCGGCACGCTCGCTTCGCTCGCTCGGCTCGTGCGTTGTGGCAACTGTTCTAACCTAACCTAACCAAGATATGAGGAATAATAAATAAATAATCTTAAATGTTCTAACCTAACCTAACCCAGATATGACGAATAATAAATAAATAATTAAAAATATTCACAGATAAAAAAATGATTTTTTTTACTAAATGTACAATTGTAAAACAATATATTTTACATAAATCAAATAAAAAGTCATAAATGTATTTATAAAGTGAAAATAATATTTTTCTTTTTATTTATTTATTTATTAATAGTAATATTTTACCAACAGAAAAAGCAAAAATAATCAAATATAATCTGTTGTCATTTAAGCGGTAATATAAAACAAAGTGTCAGTTTCGCTTTTGTCAAAATGTAAGATCATTTTGTTTGTGTTTTGAAATTATTAAAATATTAAATACAATAAAGCATTAATTGTTGTGAAAATATGTATTGTACATAAAAAAGGATGCGTACTATTCGTTAAAGGTATGTTTATCTGTTGTAATCACTTATTTAGGTAAAGAAATGTATGGAAATGTGTTAGATATGTTATAACTTTAAGTCTCAATAACTTTTTACTCGTACGTTTCCTCCAAATATTTTTAATATATTTTGACTCTCTGTCACCTCCCCTATTTAAAAATACCACCCACTCCGAATGGTGGTAAAGAAATATATGAAAATGTATGGAAATGTTGTAACTTTAAGTCTCAATAACTTTTTACGCATACGTTCGCGGTCAATTTTTATTTAACATTTCGACTCCCTATCACGTCCCTTATCCAGAAATACCACCCACTCCGCTAGGGGCCAAGTCCCCAATTCTAAATTTGTGCCTAGAACAGTTACCACAACGCACGAGCCGAGCGAGCGTGCCGCGGTAGAGGCTGGCGAAGTGCCACAAACTAGTAGAAAAATAGAAAAATCGATTTTCACTCAAAATGTAAATGAAAACAAAATAATGTGAATTTTCAAATAAAAATAATATATTAACGCTAATTTGTGAGATAATTGTGTCAGTCACGCTAAATTACCGCTGTAGTCACGCTAGTGTGCGAATAGTCTCAGCCATATTATAATTCAAAAACAAATGTTCCAGAGAAAACTCTCCCCTCCCTTCGTCCTCCTTTCGTCCCCCGCGCTCTCCACGCAAGGGCGAAAAACCTGCAACTTCTGTGGTGCCAGAGCAGTTTCAATTCAAAGTTAATATTATAATATACTAATTTTGAGGTTAGCTCTATGAAATTTGTTTTAATTTTTTCTCAAGAAAGATGTATTACCTACCTTGTAATGGGAGTGGTATGGGGGGAATGGGGAGACTAAACTCTACCGCCTCCCCCTCCCTACCACCATCCTGCCAAACAATTGCAAATCGTACCCTGTAAATATATATATGTTTATTTATAAAAAAATATACAGTAGACATATTTTTATTCTTTCAAATTGTATTCAATGCTTTTTTTGTCACTTGAAAATTTGAAGCTCATATTTCATTGGTATGTAAAAATGCACGCTCCTTAGATCCATTTCATCTTTAATATGAAATGCTTGAGTCATAAGTGTGCTAAAGCATAGTACCTCCATACTAAGACTGAAATGTGACCTTTCATTTTGAATTCCACTTGTCTTGGAATGGGGAACATATTAAATACAACAAATTTTGTTTCTTTATGTTAAGGAAAAAAAGTAGAGAAATAAAGAGGTACCTATTTAATTAAATAATGAAAAATTTACAGGCGGTGCTGTGGAACAAGGATTCGTGTGGAGATGTCAAATGGCAGAACAAGGAGAGATCGCAGGTACTCTACGTGAATTTGCAGTTTTAAATGCAAATTTCACTTTTTTATTACATATTTGTAAGATATTTTCACATAGCTATAAATAGCATTGAACTGTTACTACAGTAGATTAGTTTGAGCTGATTTAGTGTAGAGGAAATATTCCAATAAAATATGAGTGGCAAGTGAAAAGGATAGGGCTTCTTTTGTCAGAGAATTATTTACATTTATTTAATGAATATTAAAATTCTTTGGGATTTAGATAATAAAATAGAAATAATAATAGTATTTTTTGAAATGAAATCTCTATATCCTTTTATAAGTTAAATTTTGTCAATAATTGTAAATTTAAAACTATTTGTGCATATTTTAGATTCTTTAAATTATAATTGATTCAGATCCTTTAATATGTCCAAGATAAATATTGAAAATATAATTTTAAAAAATATCAATAAACCTAATTCATAAATTTTGATATATTGGTTTGCTTTTAATAAATGTAGAGTTAATTTAAAATGGAGAATTAAATGTGGTGGGTGTTGGAACGTTTGCAGGTCCATTTTATCAACCAACCACCAACACACCAACGACCTCACCACATCTCTTCACTACGGCTTCTTAATCAATATGACATCCGCGACCAACGCTACAGTCGCTACCAACCCGCTCTACGATCGGCTCTCCAAACAACGCGCTGAAGCCTCCGCCTCTATCCTCTTAACGGCCATCACCTAACTCCCCTACACCTGGTTATTTTAATGAACCGCATACAATCCATGCTTACGTCGTCACCGAGGCCACGACCGCTACCAACCGTGTCCGCACTTTCGCGAAACTTCCGGTAAAACATCATTCGAAGACGTTGAAACTTGCTCCGTTTACCCCCTTCGGCCTCAGCAGTCCTCAGCTACGAACAACGGCTCACCATGTTTCGGTATTTTTAATCCTATACTTAGCACTGCCTTACCTAAGCCTATTCTAGTACTAGTTTATACACGGTGTTCGGAGCAAATGGACTAAAGTCAAGAGATCACATCCTTGATTTTGGTAACATGATTTTTTTTAAATAGGTAATTTAACCTCAACAAATCATTATATTCTCTTTTGTAATACACATAAGACTGACATACAGACAGAAAAACACAAACAACCTAGCTTCAACCCAAATTCAACAAGCAACATACAAACAAACATTAGTCTAGCAAGTAAGAGATTTAACAAATGAATGCACCAACAGGTCAAGGAGTCGTAGCCCGCGCCGACGTTCATACTCGCGGGGACGGTCAGGGTCACCAAGGCGCTCTCCTTCCGTCCGTAGACGCTCTCCATCAGTACGTCGCTCGCGCTCCCGCGACAGACGCAGCCGATCAGATAGCAAGACCAGGTATATAGAGAAAACCTACCGATCCACATCACGATCCCGCTCACGAGACAGGCAGAGCAGATCAGACAGTCGGAACAGGTGAGTTGTAACCATCTTGGACACCATGTCCCTGTGCGCACCACTTTGCATCAGGTATATTATATACATGTTAGATTTTGTGGTTTGAATTGTCTACTTGGATATTTTGAAGTAAAAAAGACATTGGCACCAACATTTATAAATTTGATCTTTTAAGAATTATTAAATTCTATAGTGAGTTTATTGAACATTGACATTATTAAATTTGTTATTAATAAAGATTATTATTAACGATTTGTTTATTTTTCAGATATTAAACTAACGGGAGTAATGAACTGTGGATGGATGTACTGTAATATAGTGATACAAGTGTGTGTGTTTGACATAGTGTACTTCATCTTCACTTTAGTAGCTTCATTTTACTCATTTCATTTTTGTATAAATCAAGTTACTTGTAATTTCTGTAAGCACTTATCTGTAGGTTAATTAAGATTAAATCAAATAAACTTGGAATTTTAAATATGTAATTGGTTTTATTTTGTGTATTTTATTATAAAAGTAGTAAGTATTAAATTCATTTACTATAAGATAAATTGTCAAAAAAATAATAATAATAAATGTAAAGAATTGGCTCAAGGGATTTGAATGACTAGTTTTTACATAGATATTGTAATTTACACAAATTCTATTTAAACAATCAAATATTTTTATCACTCTTTCATGTAAGTTCATAAGGCTCAAGCTACACAATTGTCAGTCTAGACACAGTTATAACATTGATAAAGAAAGAAAACTAGCAATACCCCATGGCTTTGTCTGTGTTCAAACTTCTGATTGCTACCAAACTTAAGTTACAATCTGAATAAAAAAATCAAAATATCTCTAGCCATTTTGGAAGTCCACAGGTAACATACATCACATTACATATTTTTATATAGATAGATATGTATTAACAGCAACATTTAATAAATATAGAAGTATCAAAGAATATGTATTGTTTCTAGTAAAAAGGCTTGCAATATAAAATGTTTCAAATCTAATCCCTTTTTGTATCTAACTTATATGTACTATCTTTTGAACTCACAGGCCTTTGTTTTCTTGAAGTAAAAAAATCAAAATAGAAATATGTACCAGTCACAACAAAAACTGTCCCAAAAACATGGAACAAAGTTAAATTATTCTTAAAAACTATGGATGATATAAGGAGAGAAACAAATTTTCTTATAGTTAATATAAAAGTGACAGTCATAGATGTTTCTTTAGTTGCTAATTCATGGACGGAATGTGTGCATAGGAATTGAGAAACAGTATTTAAAATAATAATTAACCAACAGATAGATGTGAGGCTAAATACAATGTTGTAGAGTTGTGAATATATTCCTAAGAATAAAGGCATTGGTAGTGCATGAGTGTAGAAGAGCATCTGAAACAATGAAAATTTGTTTTTTTGTATATATACTTAAGACCAGCTTTATATGTAAAAGAATATTATGTTTATATATCTAGTTAAAATTGTATGCCTCAACAATTCTAATAAATGTAAAAATTTAATAACTACACTTTCTTAAGTATGGTTATATACCATACAAATTTAAAGTCACTTTAAAATGAAACTATCTACTATTATTATTAATATACTATAAGTTAAACTGGACGGTATCTCCTGTGAACAGCAAACATTGTGCTTTAAAACATTTGAAACATTGGGAATAAAAATATAAAATAAAACCGTGACAAAATCTAAAAAGATAGGTATTTACATTTTAAAATGTCAATTTGCATACATCTAAGAAAGTTTTATAAAAGTCGCTTTTTTAAAAGGGCAAACAAAAGCATAAACTAGTAAGACGTAAGTAATATATGTATAATACCTCTTCAGGATGCTTCCCATATTTAGAGTATAGTATCTCCTGCTGTAAACCTACAAACGCTCCAACAATCAACATCGATAAAAGTATAACAACCCCAAGACACCAGTGCATTAACTTCCCATCCTTGTCTTCAACCACACTTGCACCACCATACATAGCTAGAGATACTCCAATACTTAAAATGACCGAACCTATCATTGCATTTGTTCTTGGTCGTTGGTTTTTTACATACCAAGATACTAACATACTGGCTGGTGAAGAGGCAGATCTAAAAATAAATAAACTTAAAATTATGTACAATGTAATACAAAACAGGAATATATTTAGTCAATTACATTTACATAGCGAGCAACCAATTTTTGGTCAAAAAAAATTATAATTTATTGAACAATATAAAATAGCAATACTTTATAACAAACAAATATTTTTTCTTAAGTAATGAAATTTGCTATGACAACATAATACTTAATTACATTTATTAGTGATAAGCTAATGTTAATTGCTTAATTTACCTTATAATCATATGAAGAGTGGAGGGCACATGCAAAGCATACACATAATTATTTGCAACACTTGTAACAAAAAATAAAGATATTAAAATAAAATATTGCCTTATGGGTATTTTTGGTTGGAACTGAAACAAATTTAGGGTAAATATAAGCACACACATCAGTTAATATGAATTTCATATGCCTACGTCATGCAAATAAAATGATCTACACTACTGAAAGAAGCTAATAACTTACCAAACGTATTTTAAAAAAAATAGCACCTTGTATAGTTACAAATAAAAATTGAAGAAATGTTATAAAATTAGCACTATCTGGCGTTCTTGCCATCATGATTTCCATTAGAAAAGAACTTAGACAACATCCTATAAAAACTTTCAAAACTGTATCAAAATTAGTCATGTTTTCTTAGTATTTATATATGGGAACTAGGCTAATTAATGAGCTTGGACGGAATAAATAGCACACTACAGTGTGCAAAAATATCTTTTAAACAAAACACTAAACAGATTACATTATTTTCATTATTAATACTTTTAGGATTGCTACGAAAGCAAAAATGAAAAATACTAAATAGAAGTTTTCGGAAAACTTTGTGAAGTGTAAACTTTTTTTGACTTTCACTGTCAAGTGTCATATTGACGTTTGACATATCGAGTGCGTTCTAATTAAAGACCACACAAAATTGTCTAAAATATTAGTTTAATATTTTTATTTTACCAACCAATCTCCTTCGTGAATCGTGTCTTCTCCATTGTACGTGTCATTGGCGAAGTAATCTGCTCAACTGGCATGCTTTGAAGCCATTAACAAGAAAATTTATTTAATTGTTTGCATGGCTGTAGCCCACGCAAACTAATTCATTTAGATTTTCGTAACTGTGAAGAATCCTTTCAAACAATAAGTATTTTATTAAATATGACGATAGCCAAACATGATATTATCTATTCATCCGCCTAAAGCAAGACTACGTCTAAACATAAAAGTTGATGTCTATTTTATTCTATTAAATCAAATGGTTTAATTTAAATACTTATCATAAAAGTCAACTGATGAGTTATTATCATTTTGTTCACGTGACAGAATGAAAAAAAGAAATAAAAATCAATCGTCAATAATGTTTACCATTACCTAACAAGCAACAGTTATAAAAATTTAATTAGGCATAAATTTAAAAATAAATTACGTTATTTATGTATATTAGCAATGACAATTTTTTAATTGATGAGTATTTATGGACTTTAGACGATATCTTATAAGTTGAAATTACAATAATTATAACCTTACTAGGGCCTTAAAAATAAAATGAACATATCAATTACAAAACAAATATTTCACAATAAAATTATACCTTTCATACTTACGTGTTATTTATCTTTTATTTTAATAACCGTGTATATTATTTGTATTCAATTTATTATGAGAAAAATTGTTAGTTTCTTATAAATCTGTTAATTCATTAAAAAATCCAGCGTGAGAAAGAACTATTTGACATCAAACACAAAGTTTGAAAAGTAAAAACGTGGGAAGTTAACTATCGTGAAAAATTATATGGTAATGATATTTTTTTTTCATTTTCGAATTTGAACTCTCGATTTTATTACTACAATGCAAAATATGATAATATCTTCTAATAAAAGTTGATTAATAGAGGTAAAAAAATATATGTCGTTAAAATTCAGTTAAACAAAAATCCTTGATGATCATGAGTTAGTTCAGTGGATAGACAGTATTTTAGCATTGTGACAATGGATGCCACTCACCTTTTTTTGCATGTTTGCTAGTTTATTCAGTATAGCGTCGCAATATAAACCAAGTATCTAAACGTAATGCCTGTTAACATTGCCTTCGAGTGAGCTCATTTGCCAACAAAGCGTTTTCCTACGTTGAATTAACATCCACCGGTGCGAGCGACCGCCGTCCGCTCTACCGCGTCGAGGCGAATAGACGTCTACGCAAAATGATCCCGTACGAATCGTATCGTACTATCCAAGTGTAGTTTTCAACAAACTGTTAGTTTTTATTGTGTATAAAATTAAAACAATTTCAACGAGTGTGTGTAGTGCCATGTTTTACTTTAACTAAGCTCGTTTTTGTCGACTAAAAAATGCAAACCGTTTCGTGTTTAAATATTTTTACGAAAGTGTGTTGTTTGGTTTTAGAAAAATGTTGACGGGATTTCTAGTTTTTTTGTTAATTTTTCTTCACTCATTCCAGTTTGGTAAGTTAATTATTTAAATATAAGTCACTGTGAAATATTGCTTTTGTGATAAGCACGTTGGTATCTACCCTCATTTAAGCAAAGTGGTGATTTACATAATAATTATGTATAAAAATATTTTATTTACATACGTATCTTTTTTAAACTATACATAGGTATTACAAAAAAATAAGGTACCTAATGATGGCATTGAGTTTGTATCAACATTTATAATGAGCCTCATTGTATGACTATAGCTAAGTAGATAATGTTATTGTTTTTAACTTATAATTATGTTCAACATTTTTTTTGCGAAATAACTATTTAAAAATATAGATAAAATTTAGCATTACGTCATATTAAATATATTTCTGTTAATGAATATTTAAAATTTATTTACGATATTAGCACCGCCTTGTTACAAACACGACGCGGACGTATTCGTGTGTTAAGTGTTTTTTTTATGACGTTTTTATTTGTTATGACCAATGTTAAAATTCGATAGGCCTACATAGGTACTTACTTGATATTGATCAAAACATGGGAGGTGCATCTACTTCTTGATTACTTTATAATCTTTACACATAAATCTAGGTAATATTTTTCGCAGATATCTAAATTTAAACACGGATTTAGCTAATATAATTTTATTTCTTTAACTTTTTCTATATATTTTTCTCCATGACAAGGGGGTGTAAATGCAACCCTTGCAGCCCCATCCCAGCGCCCATGTTCAAAACTATTAATTTAAATTAAAAAAAAACCTTTTTGCAACGGACCAATATCTTTTGGGAATCATTTGACGTGGAATCAATGTCAAACTTCTGCTCATAAACTAAATCACATCGATATAATACACAATAAATAAACCTCCATAATTTTTTTTGTATGTATGTATGTATTCGGCCCTTTTTAACGTCCCAATGCTGTGCACGGGCCTCCTTTAATACGAGGGGGTCAGGCCATAGTCCACCACGCTAGCCAAGTGCGGGTTGGCGGACTGCACATGTGTTTCGAAAACTTACTAGGTTCTTTCAGGCACAGCACATGCAGGGTTCCTCACGATGTTTTCCTTTATTTTACATTTATATAATTAGATAAAGATGTTATTAGGATGTATTAAATATAAATATATTATATAATATGCATTTGGGGCCAAAAAAAGAACCGTGTCAGTTCAAATCACTATTTAATTACAAAATTAATAATTAGACTACCAACTTCCTTAAAGCATGAGATTGTAAATTGCATCATAAAATACTATCGGTTACCAACAAAAAATTATAATATTTAGTGAAAACGCATAAAAAATGCGACGTAAATTAAAATATTAAAGACGTTAGTGTGTTATTAAATGTTTATTATAATAAGTAATATCGTCTATGTTCCGAATTCGCTTTATATGTAGCCTTGTAGGTAAGTATGTTTATATTTTTATAGATAAAGCTTAACTATAGCTATGCTTTATCTATAAATATAAACATTACTCAAAGCTTTTCTCTCCTTGAAATCATGTGTGAAGAAAGGTAATGAATAAATCCTCTCCTTTTTTTAAAACTAAAAAAATATGAGATCACGCATGTTATATTTAGTTCGTATTTTTATTATACTGTTTATCGCGTCTTATGACAATATTGGCGTAATCCACAAAACATAGAGAAGAGTTATTATAATTGTATATTATTTGGCGAGTACCGTTAAAAAGTAATAATATTTAAAGTGCCTGATACGGAAATCGAACTCAATATCAAATGGCAAATTATTAATGCCATTGAGCCAAGGTACTACTAAGTCACGAAGGTTGTTTATTATATATACTACTGTATAATGCACTTATATGATGCCTTAATTTAGAAAATGTCAAAACTATTGAAACGCAGCTAAATTTTTCAAATGTCTGAACGTGTATGAGAGACCTTTTAAGGGCTACATGGGTATTTACTGTTACTATTAATCTTATAAATGTGAAATTAGATGTTTAGATGAACGTTTGTTACTCTTTCACGCCAGAACGGCTGAACGGATCTAGATGAAATTTAGCACAGAGGTAGATTATTGTCTGGAATAGCGCTAGGTTTCCCTGGGATAGATTTATTTTTCTAGAGATGAACCCGAGCAAAGCGAGGGTGAGCCTCTAGTTTCTAATAAAACAAGTAACAGAAGACTGTAGTAAAAATACCTTTTTTTTTTTTTTTTTTTTAACGTTGGGAAATGCATTTACGCACGAAGTGTGGGACTCACCGGCGAAGCCAGTACTACCCACTAAAACCCAACAAAACCTTCCCCCGTCTTAATGGGGCGTCGCAGGATCGCTTACGCATTCAACTACGACGCCCCGACGGCAGGTCTGCCGAAGCAGACCACAACAACCATGGGGTTGCTCCACGAAAAGAAAGAATTCTTATCTAATAAATAATGATCAATAAGTAATTGATGACACAATTATTGCACTAACGACATAGAAAATACATATCAGTCATCAGTACATTTAATTTGTCAGTCTACAAAAATATTTATGGAAAAGACTGAAAGGAAGAAAACGCTTAAATCAAGCGCAATAAATAAATAATATTTGCATCGAAATCGAATTTGTAGGTAACTCATTATCGTACCAATTTTTTTCAATTCACCCAAGAGGTATATAATATATTATATATTAGTTATTTATTATAATGGAATTATGAAGATCGATTTAGAATTGGTAAAAATATCGAGTAACAAAAAATACACCTGGATTGAGTAGGTGCCAGTGGCGAAGGGTGAAATTTTAGCAGATGTAAGCCGTTCCAAAAATATATAATTTTTATATACGTATCAATACAGAAACAAATAAAGCTATTATTATATAGATATTTCCAAAAGAACATTTACACATTTAAAAAAATAAATGTATGTAAAATTATGGCAAAATAATTTTAAGGTAAGACGTCTTGTATAGACGCTTCGCCATCGGTAGGTACCTTTATTTTTTGAAGTCGTTCAAATATAACGTACCACATATTAAGTTCGGAACAGACAAAAGAAAACTGCTAAAATTTCTCTTGTTCTTCGTATTTAAAAAAAAGTTGTAACTAGTTATTGCAATGTTGTCACTTTGACATTTTATACGATAATTGTCTTATTTATTTACTCAGTTATTATCAATTCGTGAAGGTGATTGAAGTTGACCAATAAAAAGTCGAGACTGCGTTCACTGTTGCGTATACATATATATTTATAAAACCAGTATAATCTCATGATTTTATATTGATTTTTGTTCCTCATAACCTTAATATTATATAATATGTCCATTAAATGCCTAGCCTCTAGAGTACTCTCCATATTTGTATGCTTCGATGGTGTTGGCATATGTCGGGATACAGACAGTTTTCCAAACTTCTGTACGGTAAGGGTAAAAGCGGTGGTCAGTTCCTTTTTTTTTTTTTTTTTTTTTTTTAACGTTGGGAAATGCATTTACGCACGACGTGTGGGACTCACCGGCGTAATACAGCCAGTACTACCCACTAAAACCCAACAAAACCTTCCCCCGTCTTGATGGGGCGTCGCAGGATCGCTTACGCATTCAACTACGACGCCCCGACGGCAGGTCCGCTGAAGCAGACCACCACAACCATGGGGTTGCTCCACAGTCCACTCTGCTATCAGAGAAGTACCAGGAGCAACCCGCATGGTACACCGCCCTCCGAAGAGGGCCACCTCCCACCGCCCACCGAAGTGGGCAACCTCCCTGTGCGTTTCTTAGCTTCGCTACTGCTACTGAGCCCCCCCACCACGACAAGGTGAACGCACGTTGGGGGGGCGGTGGTCAGTTCCTAAGATATAAGGATATTCTGAAAAGACATATGAAACGGTTGCTAAATAGAGGAAGGGAAGGAAAAATAGCACAGCGGCCTGAGTGCCGTCAACTCATTAAGCAGCAGGTTAACCATCTCCAAAATGAGCGATGCGAGGAGCTCGACAAGAAAAGGGATGAGGCCCGACCTATACTAGCTAGTCCTTATAATTATATCGTCGACGGTGTATTATCTTGTCCAAAATGTGCACGTACCTTTATTAATAAAGTCGGGTACACAAGTCATCAAAGAGCGCACCATAGGGAAGCACAACGAGACCCCCATTTACAACATTACAGCAAAGTCCTTGTAGTCGCTGTGGTCGAAAGCAGCCAAAACACGTCATCATCATCACTCTCCATATTCATTTAAAATCTCACCTCACTCAAGATTATCACACTTAAATAACAAGTAAGTAATATAAAAACCCTCTCTGTAGGTATTTAAAATTATAAATATTTTTAGTCTTAACATATTATCTTTCTTATATGCGACTTGTAAAACCTGATATAAGTATAATTTGGTAATAAAAATGTTGAACATTTCCAACAGTCTCGAAAATCTGCTAATTCGTTATACACAGAACAGTTATGTGATGTAATATTTCTAACCCGTAAAAGTATTACCAATTGCCAAGTTACAATAAAAAATAATTATACAACGTATAATTTCTTCGAATTTGTATGAAATCACCCTTTAGAACTAACCTAAAATCATGAAAATCAGTTGATACTAGCGACTCACCCTCGTTTCGCTCGGGTTCGTCCCTAGGTTGATTCTCCATACAAAATTTCATCGCCATTTTTCTTAAATTTTCTAAGTTTCTGCGCCATTTTCTTAATTTTTTTTATGTAAGAACTTTCTACGAAATATTAGAAATTATATACATATAAAAAAAAAAGATGAATGAAATTGGTAAAGCCGTTCTCAAGTTATAGCATGATCAGGAAAAATAGGATTCATTTATATACATACATACATATATATATATATATATATATATATATATATATATATATAAATTCCATTTCCATACTAATTTTACATGAATTCCATTCAAATTATGTCAAACTAGCGACTCACCCTAGCTTCGCTCGGGTTCGTCCCTAGGTATGTTTTAATTTTTTTGAGCGGAACCCTAATTCTTTTTAGTAAAAGTAGCCTATGTTACTCCCTATAACATCAGCTATCTTCCAGTGAGAATCCCGTCAAAATCAGTCTAGCCATTTCAGAGATTATCCGGAACAAATTTTAAAAATTATGTTTTTCTTATAAGTACCGTATATAATTTCATATGCATTTAGTAAAACGCTGTTATTTTGACATTAAAAACAGACACTTCCATTTTATTTATCTGTATAGATTCTTACCACTAGTAAGAAATACGAAGATAAGTATAGATAGGTTATTGGTATCCAGCGATAGTCGCTGAGTGTGTAGTCTTACAGTATCCGTCTCACTCTGACCTTAGGGAGTTCTAGCTCGTGGACGGCTAGCACCGTAAAGTAACGTGGGTTACAAGCACGTTTGAATGCATAGGCACGTATTTTCAATAGTTCGAATAAAATAAACTTCTAACTTCAGTATGACGTGTCTATGATACAAAACCTAAAGTCTACCAAGTGGATGATATATGAATTAGGGTTTCTAAAACCATGATAATAAAGGGAGAGGTTCTGAAATTGACACATGTGTATTATATTTTTTATAACCTTTCCATGTCTGATTAGCAGTGGTTGCCCAGTGGTAACGCATTCGTTTTGGAAAACGAGTGAAGCGGGTTCAAATCCCGGGTCTCGCTTCTCTGATATTTTCATGTGCGAATCATTTCCAACATAAATATTACTTGTTTTATGGTGAAGGAAACATCGTGAGGAGTCCTGCATGTCTGAGATGACCTAGCAAGTTTTCGAAAGACATGTGAAGTCCGTCAACCCGTACTTGTCCAGCGTGGTGGACTATATAGCAAGATCTCCCTCGTATTGAAGGGAGGTGTGTGCCTAACAGTGGGACGTTAAAAAGGGCTGTATACAATTTCGATTTATATTTTTCTTAGTAGGGTGTATTCCGATGCTGGTCCCATTTAAATTAGGACAAAAACAATGACATCCCTAAACGTAGTCTACCTACTTAATTTTTGAAAGTTATAGTTAGTAGAGTTGGCCATAAAAAAAGTAATTAATTTTAAAACTAGTAAGTAGTTACCTACGTTAGTTCATTCTTCATTATAGATTATAAATTTTTTTTGCTTTTCATTTCTCTTTTTGTCCGTTGAAATTGTTCGTTAAAATGTTGCCATTACCATTAAATCTTGATCTCATATTTTATTGGAAAAGTTTAACTATTTGCATTTTGCAGTTTATTTTTATTATGTACAAATATGAATAATATTGTTTTTTATATGCGCTATTTAAAAACGTAATTTATGTAATTGTGTTCTTCATTCGCATTCTTGTTACAACAACACCCATATTATACTGTTCTTTTCTTAATTAGTTTGTTTATATCACGTTGTAAGATCGTTCTATTAATAAACTGTCGTCAAACAGCTGATATTTACGTTACTGATGAGTTAAAAGTTGTTTCAGTAATAAGTTTTAGTTTTCTGTTTATTGTAAAGAATGTGTGCAACAATGCCTGCCAAAATTTAGGTGTGGATACATATTTTCGGTGTACGGCGCGGCGTGCAGACAGACTGTCTGTAGCATTACAAAACTGTCTTGAAACATATTCAACTTTCTCCTGCCAAGTCATTTAGCGTCAGATGTTTACGCTCGTTATTTTGGTACACAAAATATAATAATTAACAGCAGTACAATCGATGTTTCTAAGAAGAAGATTCTTTAGTGTTTTTTTAAATTTTGCCTGATTAATTACTAAATCTCAGAAAGCATAAATACAACAAACTTGAGAAATTTAATACCACATAAATAATATATTATATCCACAGAAATCTTAATAATAAGCTAATAGAAGTGGCATAGACGCGTGACCTTGTCGCCGCGCATGTGACTCGTAGGTCACAAGCGCGTGTAAAGCGTTTGTTGCGGTAACTAGTGTTATTTGAGACACGGAGAGGTAAACATGGTGTTTTGCAGCATATCCAACTGCGGAAATTCTTCCGAAATTTGTAACTTTTCAAATAAAGGGATAACATTTCATATGTAAGTACTTAATTTTTGAAATAATGTCGTTTTTAAGAAATATAGCCAAATCAAATGTTTTCACCACCACTACTACGATTATCGCAGGAAAACGTTTTTTTTTTTCAATTCAATAACCATTACCACTTAAGCTTGTTCATGTCTACTATTACAACTGCTAAAAGCAGCAATGAAATAATAGTCATGCGTAAAGAACAATATTGTCGCGTACGTAAATTCCAAGGACACGCCGCATAAGTTAGCCGCGAATTAGTGACGTGCCACCACAATTTTTTATCGAAAATTTATTACGTTTGGCTTAATATTTTTCGTTAAATATTTAATTGTTACATCTCATTATGTATGTTTTCTTTCTGTCTGAATAATTTATAAAAAGTCATTTATCAACGATTCAGATAAATTCGTACTTTTAAACTACTTTTTCATTCAGAAAATTATTAGGAGGTAGGCTTATTATTGTTATGTATATGGGTAGGTAAGTCAAAAACAGTATGCGTTGAATATCCTTGTATCGTTGACATGTTCCGCATTTACCAAATATTTTTTTTGATTTGATTTGATTGAGTAAATAATTCTAAGGGCGAGTTGTTTGATAAACATAACATAGAAATTCTATAAAAAAATTTAAGTCATTAGTTAAAAATGTATAGGATTTTAACAAATAGTTTGCATAACTTTTGTATAATAATAATAATATTTATTGCAAAGGTATACACCCAATTTAGAATATAATAACATATATGTAGTTATACAAGTCAATTTTTATATCACTTATGCATATATATGCAAGTCAATAAAAACATTATAAAAACAAAATTCAGTCAGACTCTTCATTAATTTAAACTAGAATTAAAAACAATATATCGCTGTTGAGTATATAGTAGCTGTTGAGTGTATAACTATATAATAATAAAAAAAATTACTTACTTTTAACGTTTTATTGTATTCCCTTTATGAAAATAAATAAATCGTCTAAAATCGCGTCGAGGAATGAAACATAAAACACTTTCAATAAATTAGTTACCTATTGTTGCAAGACTCAACGGAAAATTATCGATATGAGCATTATGCGCTTTGTGCTGCACTAGAAGTGAGCGCGCGATATCATTCTGTGCTTTTCGCACACGTTTATTATTGGTCACAGGGATCACGGGTTCTGAGATTATGCGTTTTTAGAAAATATTGCGTAATGTCATCGCTTAAAGTTTAATTTTTGTTGCAACAATGCAAAATGCATGTGTGAGCGATAGTGTGTATTTATTGTTGTCAATGTGTTGGTAGCTGCAAGCCGGCGACACGCGTCCCAGTACTAAAAGACCGCAATGGCATTTCTATTACCTTATTATTAAGATTTCTGTGATTATATCCGATAAACATCAATTTTTGGAAATTCAACCTCTAAAGCGCAAAAAATAGATTGAAAATTTGTATAAACGACTGTTCAAATTCAAAGTTTTAAACGGTACATTCTCTGTGAATGTAAAATCGGTGAATGATTAGAAATTGACGATTTCGTTGATTTAAAATTAAGAAACATGGAAGCTGATCAAGATTCGGCGTTGCATACAGTATTATCTATATTGTGAAAGTGTGTTTGTTCATTTCTCCTTCTTTCTAGAAGCAACTAATCGATGTCATTTTCTGCATCTTATACTCGTGGGCTGGAAATTAATTGCATTATACTACACACATAAATATGAAGTAGCCTTTTATGTTCAAATAAAATAATTTACTAATATGACCGCTTCTTTATTTCTATAGATAAATATATGTTTAAAATTAGTTTCTTTTTTCCCGTATATTCTGTTATCTGTTACGCTTTTAATGAATGACAATTGTTCAAACAAGATATTTTCGAAAATCTGGTAATATTTGCGTAATTGAAAAAATGTGGAGTATTTTAAGTCGAGTATCCTAAATATTTAACAATTTTTATTTTAGATTAACTACTTTATTATGAATACCAAAAAAATATATTATTTAGCAGTGTGTGACTCATTAGCGTCCGGCAGACGAGCCGGTCTTATACTCAAAAAACTTTAGAGGGTCCACCTCCATGGGCGGTAATCGGTATAAGAATAATAACAATCAACCAAATTAAGAGTATTTCTTGTATTCCTACGAGAAGGTATGTTCAGACATAGAGGATCTAACTAGTTTTCGAAGAACATGAAGTCCACCAATACTTGGCTAACGTAATGGACC